TCATGCCCTGCCTGCAGCCATCCCAAGGTAGAGCTCCGTATTCTGGGCTCCTGGAACTTGGTTATTTGGCCTGCTGCTCCTTTTAAAACCGATAGTCTCTTTCATCTCCTCCCCTTTCCCCTAGACACTGCTGGGCTACTCCCAGTGACCCAGTTCCACAGGCCAGGATCTGCATCACCAATGTTTATTAGAAACTTACATTAGAATAGCCTAGGCTACATGTGATACCAAAAGTTGAACACAAAACAACTTATTTCACATCTGTGCTGTATGTCCATTGCAAGTCAAGGGTAAACATGTATGTTAGGGGAATATTCCCCACCAGTCACTGGGGGATCCAGGCTAATGGAGGCTCTACCATCTGCACCTGCAACGTTTGGAATACACTGATCCTTTGGTCTCAGCAAAGAGAGAGGTCAGACATCTTAACTTGCTTTTCAGTGCTTTAATTCTTTGACCTGAGTGGTAAATGACATTTGTACTCATCTTCCGTTGGCACTGAGTTGCCCAGCTCCACCAAACTGCAAGGAGACTATGACAGCTAGTGTCTTAGTCCTGTTTGTGTTGCTATGACAAAATATCAAAGACTTAAAAAAATGTATTTATTTTATTTGCGTGTGTGAGTGTGTGTGCCCACGGAGGTCAGAAGAAGGAATTAGATCTTCTGGAACTGGACTTACAGGTAGTTATGAGCTGCTTGGTGTATGTGCTGGGATAGCTTTGATGTCGACTTGACACAACTGGGTTGAGGGAGCCTCAATTGGGGGATTTCCTTCATTGGACTGGCCTATGGCCATGTCCATGGGGCATCTTCTTGATTGTTGAGTGATGTGAGAGGGCCCAGCCCACTGTGGGTGGTGCCACCCCTGGGCAGGTGGGCCTGTGTTGGATAAGAAAGCAGGCTGAGCAGGGGCTGGGGAGCAAGCCAGTAAGCAGCATTCCTCCATGGCCTGTGCTCCAGCTCCTGCCTCCAAGTTCCTGCCCTGAGTTCCTACCTTGGGCTCCCTGTTGAACTGCAACCTGGGAGATGTAAGACAAATAAACCCTTTCCTCCACAAGTTGGTATTGGTCAGAGTGTTTTGTCATAGCAATGGAAAGACAAACTAAGACAGTGTAGGTGCTAAGATCTGAACTCAGGTCCTCTGTAACAGCAACAAGTGCTCTTAACCACTGAGCCATCTCTCCAGTTGCCAACAAAATGGGCTGGTAAGATGCCTCGGTGGGTAAAGGTGGCTACTGCCAAGACTGACAATCTGAACTATATCCCCAGGACCCATGTGGTGGATAGAGAGAACTGCTTCTCAAATAAAATATAATAAAATTACTTAAAGTTTATTCAGTTCATTATTACGGTAGCTAGGAAGTCCAAACAGCAGGGCTGTTTAGAACATGGTAGAGGAATAGACACAGGGCCAAGCATGCGGAGTGGCCTGTGCTGGTGGTAACTAATCTAGTCCTATGGAACATAATGTAGTTCCACAAGATGGCTCTCAGTCTACTGAGAATGATGTCCCTATATTCTAATTACCTTCCCAGTTCTTAAGGATTCTACCACCTTTCAACACTTTACCCTGGGGACCACGCCTTCAACAGAGCAGCCTTTAGGGGACACACTACACATAAACTGTAGAAGCAAATCTTTTATTTGCCTGGAAAGAGAACAGATCCAGATCTTGGTGAGCATTATTAAGATCTACCACAATGCCTATTCTTCTGTTTCAGCCATGGCTCGCTTATTAATGGAAGGAATAACCACCAGAGCCCCCGGAAGCAGAAGTCCCCCCGCAGTGTTGTCCCCCAGCGGGAACATTCAGGGCTCTGAGGCCTTTTCTTTTCCCATTGAAAAAGTCAAAGACCACAGACTTCTTGAAGGCACTGCTTCAGATAACCACCCTGCATGGCAACAACTAGGAGATCCCCAAAGTGGGGCCATGCCACACCGAACAGTCTCCAGCTAGTCAACCCTGTGGCAGTTTGTGGTTCCATCTGCCTGCAGGCATGCAGCCTCAGACTTCATCTGCACTCGGAATTCATCTTCAGCCTGGCAGGCTGGGCCTGTTCTGAGATGCCAGAGTTTAACTTACTGGAACAGAAAACCACATCAAAAGCTCCATCACATGACTGTGCTAAGGAACCCAAACCCCACATCAGAACGTTCTGGCTAGTGTGGAAGACCTGAAATGCAATGTGTGTTCCTCACTGGGAATTAAGAACATGTGAGCCCAGTTCTAATTATAGCCCACCCTTAATACACGTTTTTAATTAGATAGAGGTTGAGAGACTTGGGCTTCAGGGGCCAGAACTGACCTGGCTATGACATTCTTCTTTCAGAGAACTTAAATGGCCCCCACATAGTAGGCATTTGAACAGGTTGACCTGGTGATAATGGTGTGTGGTGTGATTTATGGTGACAGGGATCTTTGGACAGTTCAGCCAGGAGTTGCTTCGCTTCCTGATAGTGAGTAGGAAAAAAAAAGAGGTCACTTTATTTATTAATTATAACTCTATCATCATCTTTACCATCATTTCCAGGCCTGCCCCAGTTTGTCTTTTTTTTCCTGTGCCAGGATGGAACCCAGGACCTCACACATGCTAAACGAATATGCTGACGCTGTGATGCGCTCTGCCAATGTCTACTCAGTTTTAAGGCACTTGTCAGAGAATTTTGCACAGTCAGATAGATGTTAAGAGCACTGGCTGCTCTTCCAGAGGACCCAGGTTCCATTCCTAGCACTCATGTGCTGGCTAACAACCATTGTATCTCTAGTTCCAGGGGACCTGACTCCTGGCCTCCTCAGGTACTGCACACATGTGGTACACTTACCTACAGGCAAAATACTCATACACATAAAATTAAAATAATAGTTTTTTAAAAATTTGCACAGAATACTTCACACAATCCCCATAAATACCTACCAGGAAGTCTATTA